AGGTTGACCTTCTGCAACGGTTTTAATGCCAAACCTCGTGCTCTGCTGACGGCCTTAACGAGCTTGTCTATCAAGGCACCACACTCTAGGCCTTCAGAGAGGGTGTAGTTCACTCCAAGATATTTTAGCACAGAGGAGGGTCTGGCGCCAGTTACCATAGTCTCCCCTGTTGACAAGCCCGGGTCCCTAACTATCCATGCGATGTTACGAGGAATGAGGACGATTTACGTGGATTCAGGGTCATACCCAGTTTATTCATGTAGCGCCCAACCAGATCTACGTACATTTTCCTGGGCCGCCTCAATGGAGTCCGCCAACACGACGATGTCATCCGCAAAGGCAAATGCCCCTATTTCATGGCCGCCAATTCTGAAGCCCTCCTCTGGAGGTCTCGAATGAGAGGGTCCATCACCATATTGAAGAGCAGTGGTGAGCAGGGGCTCTCCTTGCTTTACACCGCTCATCAGAGGGATACAGCTCCCTACTCCGTTGATCTGTGTAGAGATACGGGAGCACATATCTTCGATCAATGCTATTGTATGTATATCTAATCCTTGGGAGCTTAGAGCTCGTAGGATGGCTTCATGGGGTACAGTGTCGAAAGCTTTGGCCACATCCAGAAGAAATGTCCCATTTTTCTTGGCTTCTCGGATGCGTTCGTCAAATATGAAGAGGTTAGCGGAACAACCATCGGCACGCAGTCACAGGCGCAAGACATAACAAAGAGCACAATACACATGACTGTAGGAAGAGTGCTCCCACAGAGGAGGATTGGCGTGATTCGCGTATTGAGATACGACGTAAGGATGACGAATCCCGAAAAGTTCTAATATTTAAAATCTGTTATTATATATGACGAGTATATATTTTAGTCATTTTAGTATGAAGACATCAGGGCATGCAATGCAGTAGTTAGATGTGCATAGAGAAAACGCACCTGAAGATGGCACATTAGTGCTGAAACATGTAGTGCAAATTAGAAGAGTAAGGTGAAAAAGTGTATGCCCTGTAAGACGGTTAGCATAAATCATGCCCATTTAAATTTTGCTCTGAATTATATTATGTATCATAACTTTTGAACTATATGAGATATACGAGTAGTTATGAATTTTTTACTGAAATCATCTTAAAAGATGATTTTATAATCTTATAATATGAGCGCCCTGTATCTGAGTGATGGAAGCAAGTGGATTAGAAGTTGAGTTTCTTATTGTATTTCTTGAAACATCCATCCAAACACAACCCTGCCTGACATTCACTACACCAATAAATAGATTCTTTCCTTCTACCATGTTTTGCGTACCTCACACATCTTTTTTGAGGCATTGCCTTTTTCCCTGTGGCTGGAATACACTCCAGGAAATGCCGTTCTGCGAGTATTTTAGGCGGCGGTTCAACAGACGGACGGCCGTATACAGGATGAGGAACACCAGAACCGCGTCGTCCCACAAGACCTTGTGCTAGTGAAAGTCTGAACTTAGTGTGTCCATGTTTTTGTTATTCGGGAGACAACGATATATGACCATTGCGTTATGTATTGCTACATTCGGTAGCCTCTTGAGTAACTTCTGATACCACTGTCGCGTAGCCGAGGTGATCTCTTCGGGGCATCACCATAAGACGTCGTATAATTATCTTCTTATACAAAGTTCCAATTAATTCGTAGGATAAGGACTCTCGCTTGATTAGAGTTGAAGAGTTCGAAGGATAAAGAAATATAAGTTTAGAAAATAGATTAATTAGACCTTCCAGAAATAGAATAAGTAAATCTTCGAGTACAATGGATATACACTCGACCAGATCTTGATGGTCTCTCCCCTCTCCACACACGCAGACTTACTTCTTGTATCATACGTACATTTTACAATTCAGTTCAAAGTATCATTTCTTAACATACAAGGATATAATGAGCAGTTGCATGATCGTATGATCTTTTGAACCCGGGCCGAGATACTTCTCAACCCTTCTGTCTAGTCATAATATGTGTTTTTGTGGGTCGAGGTCAATACATAAATAACTTCTTACTGTCTACCGCGGTTAGGAAATGTTCAGATTACGAAAGTACATGTTAAAGGCAATAATCAAATTAACCCTTATAACTACTACCTATTTGTTACCTATGCCATACTACACTACATTACACCACTTAGTAGTCTTCTTTCGTTCAAGCAAGTACAGCTGTAGCATTTGATCCTTCAGATCCACTCCTAGAATGTTTTTGTTGTAATCACAAAGAGCAACCGGCCTTGTTTTGTTTGACTGCTGTATTCAGGCATATCATCTTTGTGGTATGTTGATATCATAGTCACTCGTTGATACCACTGTGAGGTCACGCGTTTATTTTTAGACCGGCAGAGCTGCAGGAAATTGAATGTTATGTTTACAGAACAAAGAGCGCATTCTTTTCACAACAGCCCAGTTCTATCGTCGTCATGCTAGCATGGTTCGTTCAGTATATTTACGGGCCTTCGAAATTTGCTTACAGCTTGGCGTGCCACGGCAAGCCGCAGGTATGACCATTTAAATACCAGCGTACCGTGTACAGCAAACCGCGCTGAAGGGTTAAATAAATTTAATCCGCTCGGTTCTCCCAGTAAAGCCGTTTTTATGATGCGAAAAAACGCGTTTTCGGCTGAAATGGAGGTTTGCGTCGTCTACGTATATCTCGATAACTATTGAAGCTAGAGACTCCAATAAGAAACCAATTTGTTCCTTATGATTATGGACTACAGTTCATGTCATTACAAGTTTTTACTCAACTGACAGCCTCTAGCTCCAATTAAGCTTGAAACTTGCATATCAGTTTTGGAAAAAAGAAAGAAGCCATTTTTGACCATCAAACACGAATGGGATGGGGGAAAGTAAGAGATATGTGGTGTTGTATCCCGGTGATGGGACAGATTGCAGGTTGGCAGGGCGAGCGGTTCCCTTGGGAGTCAGTGCGGGGTGAGAGTACTGCAACTTGAAATTAACTAATACATTTATTGATAATGTAGACAGTTGTAGAGAAAACCCTGTTTGTAAGAAAATCAGTGGTCTGCCTGAGCAAGGGCAGAGGCCGACTCCCAGTATCAGACAGCGCCTGCTCCACTTAATGAATACTCACGCAGCGTCTTTGCTTACGTCCCGTGTGGTATATATATCTGGTCCAGTTAGGGCGTTACCCTTCTGGAGTAATCTGACTGGCGTCATTCATTGCATCACCCTCCTGAGTTTTTGGAGGGTTCACAGCTGTCTTGTTCTTAGTAAAAAAAAAAAACGAGCATCTTTCTTGTGACAGCACAGGTGAATGACAAAGCTCTAATCTTTTGATCCTTCCTGAAGTTAATCTCTTGATACTTCCTTTTTGTACAGTCGTTTCATCATACTGTGTATCCATAAGGTACAGTCATTTCCTCATATTACAGTATACCATATAACATATTATATCAATTACCTTATAAAACAATTCATTACATACTATGTATCCCCATACCTTATACAACAATCTATACCAGGTGTCACCATATAGAACAGTGGTTTCTACCCTTTGTTGTTGCCTATGTGGGGAATATAATCACGTAGTATATATGAGACAAACTCCGTCTTAAGTGCAACAATTTTATTGTNCACGTAGTTTTGAACCCCGTATCTATTTTCCAGAAGCTTCCAAACTCTGCTCTGGTCCCAAAATCGGCCGTTTTTAGCATGTAATATCTCCGGTGGGGAAGCTCCGAAAATGTTGAAATTCATAGCAACTAATGTTATATTCCAGAGTAACTTGGAGATAAAATTACAACTTTGATATTCTACTAATAGCGAAGTTGTGGGCACTTTGATTTTTACCAAAAAATCAATATCTCAACAATTGGCAAATGTCTTGGAAATCATCGGACTTGGATGTTTTATAACACCTGACCGTGTTTTCCTCCAGAGGGACGACCTGGTGTTTTTGGCTTGTGTGGGTTAAAGTTTTGCACTTTTGGCACAAAAAGTAAACTATCCCTGGGATATTTTCTGTGCAGAATTTGTACAGCTCTAGCGGGGACATGATGCGATTAAAATGAGTTCTTTGAAGACTGGCTTTCGCTGCTTGCCTCTTCGTGGTGCCGCCTATGCCGTCACAGACATTCTTCCAATGCGAGATGGCAAAAAAAATCCATTCTCTTTCAAGTTTGAAGTCTTCATAGTGATGACATAAATTGGAAAGATTAAGCCTCTATGTATTTAGTCCGTTAATAATGCAGCAATCATTAAAATAGCCACTATTGAACACCAACACCTGTTTCGTCCACAGACGGCCATCCTCAGGTGCTTCGATGCGACTAAACTGTTAACACTGTTTTGATGCGCGCTTGACACGATGTACTCATTGACATTGTTTTTGACAAAAGGTATCTGGATTTACGGAATGCAAAAAATTGAACACCTGAACCATGTGAAAAATGAACATATACAAATTACGAGATTCATGCACTTGAACCTGCAGCTCCAAAAACTGTGATGGTCGTATACAGTAGTGGCATACCATTCAAAACCTGTAGATTCAGTTTTTGTAATTAATGTATGTAACAGACTAGAAATACACTTCAGAATTTCTTCTGAATAAACTGGGCAATATATATGAGTGTTTGTGGCAACAAAACGTACTGGCACATGTTCAAGTTCTCCTGGATAGTCGGGAAACACTGGAATGCCTGATGGTCTGCTACCAAGCCTTCCATCAGGCCTGTTTCGTGGCAATAAGCCATCTGTCCCTGAATCGGCTGGTTCCAAGTCAATAATCTCTGGGCCTGTGACTGGAGGAATGTTCGTTTTGTTAATGTCATCTTCACGTAAAGGAAGAGTGTGCATGGAATATGACATTCTTGCATTCATCCTCCCACTGTCCTTCAGTGCTTGCTTATAGAAATCTCCTGTTGAGAAAGAGTATTGTTGTGCTGCAAGGGGGGTTATGGTAGCCTAACCCCTCGGGGCACTTATGGATACCTCTCACTGGGTCAGGATAGGTAACAGTAACAACACGTTGAATAACAATTGAAGTAATAAATTATATAATTATGTATGAATTCTCTATGTACATGTAGTTCACTACCTTAACCTACCATAATACATGAAGTAATCCTAAAATTTCTACAGTTCCTAAAACCGTATACATTGGCCTCTACGCTTTGATTATGAAATATCTGCTGTAACTTTACTTCTCGTTTTACACCATTTAGAGAGAATTGGCAATTGTCCACACTGACCTGAATATAGGCAAGTATTCATATGACCTCCACGGCCATAAGATGGCGCCGATCGCTGATCCCTTCATGTCTGGCACTAACACAGGTTCTAGGAGCAACTACTACTCTCAAAGTAAGGCTTTTTCCAGCACTATGACTGGGGATTTTATAAGGTTCCAGGGGGTCGCGCAAGTACTACCCACGCGGGATCCGCCCTGAAATAGCCTATTCTCATTAGGTGTTAATTTCCCATATATAGTCATTCGGCTGGTGCGTGATTCTCTTATGCGAGGACTTTGGAATGGCTGACCGACGGTTACCGCACACACTCACTGGTATGATCTCATACGGTTTCCGGTCAGTCATCCAACTGTCCATCCCATCCGTTCCACTGTGTATAAGTGATAAACTTATTGCCTCCCCCTCAAATGGAAGTCATAACTTCACCCAGTTAGGCTTCCATTTTTGGGTTACCATAACTATTTCTATATTTTTTCTCTAAGCATTCACAATTATTATGAAACTACTTAAGTGACTGCACCTAAAATGCAAACTAAAATGGTAAATAAAATGATACACTCTGTTAGTAACTTATGCGTCCTTGACACATTATTTTTTCCCTGAATTGGTTCAGAACTTCGTTACAAAATGTAGTCAACCTCGCACTGTTTGTGGTCTTTCCCACTTCTGTGGCGTTAATAGTAGTTACACTTTTGGGTTTCATGGTCCCAACTGTACTCTTGGTTGCATTCATAGTTGGCACGCACTGTCCTGTTGGTTTCATATCGCTGTTGCTTCCGGCGATGAGTGCTCTCCAAAATTTCCGGAGCTGGAACCTGCCGGGTTGAGCGAACTGCACGCATTCCCATGTCCTAGGCTGGACAGCGGGTGCTGGCTTGTTTACAGTCGCCGCCTCCCTCTGCAGTGGGGTAGCAGGATGTGACGTCGTCACTCCGACAAGTTCGCTAGGATTTTCCATACAACATGGTGTTGTGCCGCAGGGAGTGGTTACCCAACCTCCCCCCTGGGGTCACCAGTAGATATCTCTCGCCGGATCAGGGAAGATAGGGGTGCAAGGGCAGTAGTTCCCACAACCTTCTCAATTAAACAAACGCCTTAAATTTAGGAATATAATATGTGAGAAATACAGAAAAATGAGTGGTTACAACCCTTATGGAATGTGTCTACAAGGGTCTATCTTAACCTACCCTAATACATAAAGTTATCTTAGTCTAAACCGTATGGCTAAAACATGGCAAGCATTACAGGTTATTTGGCTACCCTAGCCGTTCTGATACTTGTTGTTAAGCCCACACAAGTCGTCGTGTCGTGTCGTGTCCGATGCCCCACTCGCTACTCGATCGGACTGAGGAGCGTGGCCGTCCCGCCTCCGGCCTCAGGCTCCGTCTGGCGTGTCCCGTCTGAGCGTAGTGATACACTGGGCTTTTGCCTACACAAATTCACTCTTCTACTTTACTAGTGTTACCGCTCGCTCTCCCTTTGGTTTCTGTTGTTGGGTGGGGTGTTATGTTTGTTCATGAAGTTTCCACCACGACGTCACCTGGTGATGTTGGAGTAGCTAGCTGTGACGATGACGGAGATGATTCTTCGGGATAATTCTTCTTCTGGCGTGGATAAACAAAGAAAGCTAAGTCTCTTTGATTGCTGGTATATTTATTCACAACTTCAACCAAGATCCACAGACCAAGTGGTAGAAAATGCAGACAAAGGATGAGACTGAACTGCGATGAAACAGAGCTTCGCCCTCTTGAGAGTCGAGAGTAAGATCTCAATATGGCGTACCCACGCCTAGCCCTTATAGGGTTAATCTGGGCGTTGGCTAAAAGGAATGCCACCAGTGAAACTTTATCTTGACATTGAACAGAGTTCTCAGCGCATCAGCGGAGAAGGAAACGCATCTTTTAGAAAGTTTGTTTATCGACACCAGATTAATCTTATAGCCCACTTAGAGAATATACTCTTTACATTCATGGACTCACTGCTCCAAGTGGTGTGATTTCATCATAGCAAGCTCTCGCTCTCTCATCTAATGATTATTAGGTCCTGACAGATTTGTAGTAATGGACGGTCTGCATTACTCAACTCCTTAGCTAAAAGGCTTCATACAAAGAGCCTTATGTTTGGTCTTAATGATGGCTTTTTACATTTAGTTTCTCTCATACTTCTTAATACAATTTTATATTAGTTCCTCTATATTATTACTTATACGGTTAACAATAGACTTAAAATATTTGGTTATTCACTACCTTTATGCAATTATTGCTCTTAGTACATTTCCTTATTATATCTAGTATATTTCTTCATTACACCCCCCTTCTTGTTAAGAAGTTTTTACCATGGGGTGAGAACTTTTATCTGAATATACTCTTACTTCTTGTTCTCTTTGCTATGGAATCCAGATCATCTTTTAATCTTAATTTTTCTTCCGTCTCCTTCTTGGGTTGGCTAGTACTTGGGCTTTCCAGTCCAGGTAGGGATTTTATGGAAACTGCGGGAGAGGTGTTTGTTTTTGCGTATTCTACTCTGGACCCATTATAATTGTAAACACTAACACAACACTTTTCTTGTGTTTGTTTCCAACACTCCTTTGGGTGCCATTTGCCCCATAACCAAAAGAAACTGTTTCTACAGCATTTACAGCAGCAACAGCTTAAGCAAATACATAAAATTGTTACAAAGATTACACCAAGTGTTGATCCCCATGATGTTGCCATCATGTACAGGTTTCGTTCATGTTTCGTTTCCTGATCCTTTATCATTTGTTGCACTTCATCTGCCCTCATACTTGCTACTCTTAGGTCATCTATATTTGACATTACATTGACCAAAGGAATTTGCAGAGGTAATTCTTCAAAATTTAATTTCTCTAGATCTTCGAAGCAACAGTCGAAGTCTATTGGTGCAGAAGGCACATAGTCATTTGTTAAATTTGTGTAAAATGTTGACAATGCATACAATGTTACATATGATGAATAACCTTTGCAACCTGGTTCTAAAGTTAATTTGCCTTCCTTCTGTAACTTTAAAGTGGTTGGCCCTTTTGGGCATAACACTGTGAACGTTTCTGTTTGTGGTGTGACAAACAACCATCGGTTACTCCTATGTAGGGGTATCCAAAATGTCTTACTTAATTTGAAAAAGTTGTACTCACATTTTCTTGGTACTGTCGAAGTTGAAGGGTGAAGCAAAGTGGCTTCACAATCCATGTCAGGAACGTACGTATATATGGGTATTTCTTCCTTACATACATATGTGAATTCATTTGATTGGAAACAACCTGTCAATTCATTAACTGTCATTTTGCCATAATGCTGTCTTAAGGGATCACTAAATATAAGTTCTTTATTGAATCCGATGTAGCTATAAGTGGATTCTTCTTTGCTTACTGCTGCTGGAAATGGTAACATCTTATACAAATTGTAAGTTGTGGAAGAAAACAATGGAATTTCCAATATGTACACTAAAAATTGTTTATAGGAGTAGGTGTTGGGTGTTATAATTTTCTGCAGTTCGGGGAAAGGAAAGTTAGGGTAGTCCAGTCCATTTGGCAGTTTCTGTGTGACCAGAAAATTCTTTATTTTCTCTACCGTGATAAGTTGCGGTTGTAGGGACCCTTGTTCGGCATGGACAAATGCATCAATTAGTATTTCGAATGAGTGCTGACTCTCATCAATTCCTCTTTGTATTAGCCTAAACTGCTCGTTAATCAAATTTACGTTCTTTATCTCCTCTTCTATCTCACTAAATTTATGTGCGCTATAGTTTTGGCTAGCATTTTGGCTAAGCCTTCTGTCATTACTTTTTCGTTTTGGTTTACCTTTTGCAATGTGGAGTTTACTGAGGTGATCGTTGTTTTAATAATTGTCATTTGTTCTTTTGACAAATGCAAAAATTCTTTTTGTTCATTTTCTAGTTCAGAAATGTGATTATTATAATTCCTTGCGTCTGCTTGTGTCAGAGTTCCAAATAAAATTTTCGATATTTCGCCTACGAAATTTAGAACTCCTCGTTTAAGTCTTTGGTTCGAATTTTGATTGTCTGTCATATATTCAACTACCAAATCTTTTAAATTGTCAATATATTTACTTTTAGACCTCATGTACTGTCCGAATGTGGCACAGTCTGTGTAATGGTACCAGTTTTTGTTCCTGATTTTCTGACAAAAATCGGTAACTTTTCTCTGGTGAATTTTAGTCTGTTTCCATAGTTCCCATGTTGGTTCTAGGTTAATGTATGTAACGACTTTCCAGTTCATAGGGTAAAAGAATATAGTTCCCATCTTATCAAAATAAATTCCTGTCTTTGATTCTACCTCATCAATGGTCTGCCCTTGGAGTAGTCTCCACCACATGCAGAGTGTGACTAAAAGTATCCACTTACACAGCTGCATTTTCTGAAATTGAAGAGAAGTACGGTTTCAGCCTATTAATGTGTATTTCATGATGCTTCCTTTTGCCTATTTCTTGGATAACAGCATTAGAACCTTTTATTTCTTTTATTTCATATGGCCGTTTCCACAATGGGTCCAATTTCTGCCTATTCTCTACCCTTAAGAGAACTAAATCATTTTCCTTGAAATCACTTTAATTTGATTTCACTCTTTGTCTCTGTGCTTCCTTGCACTTAATTAATCTTTCTCTCGCTATTTGCTGACAGTGTTGCATTTTGCCTTTTATTTCTAACACAATATCATCAAAATTGTAAAGAGGTTGGGGTTGTCGTTGGATCATGAGGAGACAAAGGGTAATAATGTTACGCCGACACACATTACATTTGCTCACTGTTTAATATTATCATATGTTAAAACACGTCTGTCCGTAGGAATGACCGAATGAGAACTCCCCTAGAAGCTCGGACTATATCGTTGAGTTTTGGGACATAAGTTCTCCCACCCTCGCAGATATATTCCATCATTGCTTCTGATTCGTTCATTCAAAAGGAAGGCGGTATTACAAGTTTAAACCCTCCAATACCCTTCTTAAAAATTACACCTTTGAAAACGCTGGTCCAGCGATATTCTCAACGATTCTTGAGACCTCGCTAGACTGCAGCTGCAAAGTGTAACATTACAGACGCTATGCGGCATCTTTTACTCATAAGATATATATATATTTGCTTCACATAACAGCGACACTATGGCGCCACTATTACGTGCCACAGGGATATAAGTGTCAGTTGTTTATAAAGCTGCTTACTCCAAGTCTTGCTCTTAATATTTCAATTTAAGCACTAAATTAAATTTCACTAGTTTCTATTCTAACTTAAGTTATTTGACCTGAGTAAATGCACCTAGATACAATACAACCTTAAGCTGTGTAACTGTGACCGTGACCGACCATAGGCAAGTACTTACTTGCCCCGTTTATCGGGCTGCTACAATGAAGTCATCCTTCTCCGTGGTCTCGAGGGTGTGCCTCGCACCCTGGCGGAGTCGTGCCCCGAAGGCTCGGGTACGTTCTACTGATGGCGTTAAGCGACAAGCGTCCAGCTCTAGCGCGCGCGTCTCCGCCCCTTGTTCCAGGGTTCTTATACCGTCTGGTAACGTGGGCACGCTTTCCGTCCTCATGGACGCGCTGGGAATCGTCGATTCCCATTGGTTAAATTCCCTTCTGTCCTAGCAACTTGCCCGTATATGGTCTTTCCTGCCGGCCACATAATTCTTCCAGTATCATGGGGAGCGGCTGACTAACGGAAATGAATAATCGTGAATCACAGGAAACAGGAGCGGTGTCTGTTTCCGTAGTTGACTTCATCTTTCAAGCTCAACCATAATTTCATGTTTCCTACGTTAATAAAATAATTTAAAATATCAAAATCAATTTCCCTAAAGGGTCCGGGAACAACATTGCCTCTCCCTTAAATGGAAATTATAGCTTCCTAAAGGTGAATTTCCATTCTCCCTCCCGTACATTAACCTTGCAGGTTATCTTTCCTAATCAAAAATGCTTACAAGTTGTCCTGTAACATTCCTTACATAATTTCACATATACAAGTATTCTTGAACGCTTACACGCGCCATTGCAAATGTAGTACTTGACATAAGTTCTTTTAACTGTTCATCTGTTCCAACATAAATACTGTTTTACACTTTTTAACACATGTTAGGCACATGTCTCTCTTTTCTTGGCTTCATTTGTGTGTCCGTATAGTCCGTATAGCAACTTCACTGGAACCTTCACATTGTTCACATTGTAATGTCACTGGAACTGCTTATCCGTGCTACTCCTGCAGACGGCTGATGCTATCAGTCACTTCCGGCGTCGTACCAAAAATAAGATAACATTATACAGTAATTAAATGGTTACAGTACATTATTATAAACAACCTAAGTGGATACAGCCAAAATGCAAAATAAGTGTTAAAGTGAAACACTCTATCTTATGCGTCCTTGACACTTTTCCGTCCTCAGTTTGTTCAACTTTGTTAACAAAACTCAGTCTCACTGTTTATAAATTTTCCCGTTTTTGTGGGGCTGATGGTCCTTATTGTACTTTTGATGACATTTCTTGTCGGCACGCACGGTCCTGCTGGTTTCATATCGCTGTTGCTTGCGGCGATGAGTGCTTCCTCCACCATTTCCGGGGCAGGAACTTGCCGGGTTGAGCGAACTGCACACGTTCCCCTGTCCTAGGCTGGACACGGGTGCTGGCTTGTCGACGGTCTCCGCCGCCGTCTGTTGTGCGGTAGCAGGATGTGACGTCGTCACTCCCGTAAGTTTGCTATGATCCTCCGTACAGCATGGGCAGTCATACGTGGTTGGGGCTGTGACCAATGTAGTGGGTGTAGACCTGGGTCTCAACTCTAGGTCAGTAAAAGGTCGTTCAATTCGGTGTAGGAAAATTCTTCTGGTCAGGTTTAAAAATGGTCGTTGCCAAAATCTGAAGGTAAGGACAATAGAAGATGGGTTACTGCATTCCGTCTGGTAACTTTGTTCATAAGTTTTTCCCGTTACAATAATGAAATTCAGTGGCCGCACGCTCTGCAGCACGCGCCAAGCTGCAAGCAGGCGATCCTTGTCCGGTGATGTTTTCTTTCCGCAGCCAACACCTGGCGTCGGTGGTCGATCGTCACCGGTGGTGGTCAGGCTCCTTGGGCGGCGTCAGCTTTGACTGACGCGGAAACTCCATTTGGTCCCCAGCGACCATCGATAATAGCGTTGGAAATTACAAGAAGTATTCTGCTTAGTAGGGTTACAGTTGCTTCTCATAGTGGTGCTTCCTGTGAACTCAGGTATTAGAATTAGATGTGAATCTGTTAGTTTCCTGTAGCCTCCTCATTCGCTTGGGCCTCAATGGTTGGTGAGGGCAGACTATTTTTTTTAATTCAATTTCCCAATGTCTAACAATTTCACTCATCTTAATAAATGTAATTTCTAGTTCAATTCCAACAATTTCTTTTCCTTAAACATCACTAGTTTAATTATATAACTACAGTCTGCCGTCATCCCGCGTAAGTAACATTGCTCATGGCTGGTCACTAACATTTCTCTAATTCTGTGTTCCCCTAAATAATACTTATTACAAATAGTGTGTATAGTAGCGTATATAACATTGGTACAGGTTCAGGGGATCATAAGTTGTCTTGCACTGCGTTAAATGTCAAAATTAATACTATATAATCTTAATCATATCTCCAAATTTTACTCATTACTTCTTCTTCATTGTAATTCACGTCTAATACCTCCTTACGTACCCGTAACTTCAATAATTTAAAATAAAATAGGTGAATGGTCATCTACTATGTAATCATCATTGCCTTTTCTTCAGTCATTCGGTTCCGTTTTCCTAACAAGTTAAGTCTGTACTTCGTCACTCAGGTATTAATTTAAATTATCTAGTTCCTATTTTAATTCCATTCATAACCCTGCGTGTCTGCTCTGGTTCTGCCCAATTTCATTCCACCTGTTACATTTCTTACTCCGTCTGTTACAAATTATGCGATATCTTAAACGTTAATTTCCTGGTCGCCGAGTCTCATATTTCCTAATGTTAAACTCGCGTTCTCTACACTCAAGTATTCTTAACCTTTCTGTCAATTTTCCAAGTACTTCCCAAATGTTCTCCCTGTTGCTTGGGTCGGATGTGTAGCACGAGTAGCATTTCTCCACTTACCTGGTAACATGTTCGGTACATGGCTCCGGATCTCTTCCTATTAATTGAGGGTCCCGTCGGTAGTAAGTCGAATCCTTCGATACCTTTCAATTTGAGGTCGGCTCCTGGGTTCAATTCCTAAAATTTCACATCATTTACTTACCGTTGATCGTGCAAACAAGTTATGGCAGGTAGTAGTTGCCTTCCGGCGGTGCCACTGGATGTTCTTATCTCTTGCCACATCCTGTCCCTTACGTAGTTCACAAGTCTTAAAGTTCCTTCTAACTGTTTTATAAAATAAGTATCACTTCCCCAGTTTTTGAATGAACTTATTCGTAGTTTTTTAATTCCCGTTACTTCTTTCCTAAAATTTTTGTGTTTATACCCGTGATGGTTAACTTCACTCAAAGGTTACAGTTCCATCTATCTGCAATATTATTTCCTTCTACTGACTTTTCTTCTCTCCCTTTTGTCTTTCTTTACCCTGTTGGCCTAAAATAGTTCAAATCGTAAAATCCCTTTACTTCGCATAAATTTTGCCGTCTAATTTACATTTCAGTCAAATACGTTAGTGTCGAGCCAGTTCCTGTGAGTAATCCCTTCTTACTGAGTCATCTTGTGTCAGTGTATTTGTTTTCCCGACGTTGCTGTAGCCAAGTCGTCCTCCATCGGCACGCTTCGGTCTCCCACGTGGGTATATTACCAACCATTTCAACGAAATGTGGGCAAGGGGGTCTTGCAGGCCATCACCGCGCAGCTGATAAGTTGACCCAATCACTTCCAAATTCGTTAAGTAATACCTCTCAATTTGGCTAACTCTTACGTAAACTTTTCCTCAACCGTCTCTCGCATCTGCGGATCGAACGCAGTGCAGTCGGTCCATGCACCGTTTCCCTCCACTCTACTAACAACCTGTAATCATGAATCATTCTGAAACCTTTGAGTCTGTACATATTCCGAAAAGCAAATCTACGTGTAACTAACATAATAAATGTTCTTGCTTCTAAAAAAAGGTCATCAAAATATATAAATATCCGTGTAATCAGTGCGGTAGCTCCTGGTAATTCGTTCACTGGTACTGTAGGTAGCGTCCAACCTTAATTTTACACAAAAATCATGTTGTTTAACATAAACAGTTATTAATATTCCAATCCATATTAAGCCTAAATGATTAATTTTTCATCCTATCGCAAATCTATTCCCGCTTAATTTTCTGCAACATCTAATCGTAATATAATTTAATATTAACCGTCTCCATTTTAAATATAATCGTTCTTCCTCTTCAAATTTAATCCTCATGTGTAATTTCGTTTTCCTAATCATCGTCTGCAAATTCTTCTAACATCTCTCGCAGTACGTTCCCTGGCAGTGCTGTAACGTAGCTTCGTAAGCGAGTGCATCACCCGCGTTATCATTTTGTGGCTTCCGGTCTCTGCTGCAAGAACGGAAATAACATACTGCGACAGACAATTTGCAGTTAACTATCGTTCTATAAATGCCAAAATCAAACAAACAAAAAGCATATACAGAATTCATTAACCCATACAATTTCATATCTTTCTATAATTATCCAAGGGTCTCATATAATGGTATTACAACAGTTGGCTATCCTCGACCATTCAGCGTTCATAATTAAATGTTAAACCTACCTAACAGTCCCTTCTTCGTAAAATTTTAGTTTCCTTTTAAATTTCCTACCATACAAGGTGTTTATAATTTTGAGTACCAAATATAATAGCTGTTAATTCTGTCTGTGTAATCCGTAACTCGTATCGACGACATACAGTGCGCAATTTAACAAAATATTCAACTACTTCCAACCATAATGTAATTATATCCTGAAGCAAAACTGTAAATGAAAATCTATACTAAAATTACCGGCTAGTGAAATCGAACTGTACCAGCACTAAGTCTGACGGCCAAGGATGTGTTGACACAGGGTCTGTCCCCCCTAAATTTCTCAATCCAGGAGATATTCCACAAACCAAATAAAATTTAATGTATTCAGTTTTAAAAACTCTCTACGGAATCGTTACTTCTTCCTCTTATGTTACACCATTTAGAAAAATTGGCAATTGCTCACAGTGATCTGAATATAAACAAGTACTCACATGACCTCCACAGCCATAAGATGGCACAGAACGTTGGTCCCTTCTTGTCCGACATTAACACTGGTTCTAGGGGCAACTACACCTCCCCAAAAGATAAGCACGCGATCTCCCAGCGACTCTCATGTCCGAACATTCCTAGCGTTCTAAAATCATAAATCCTTAATACAGCAAATTTGATTCATGTCCAAGGCGATACCCGGTGTGTTTTCCACATGTCCTACGTATTCTCCGTGCAACATTACCTGTGTTTTCTTAACGGCACCCTGTCTTAGATGTACGTACCTCTAGGGCGCTGCTAAAAGCTAACCTCTACTCTCTTGAAATTCACTGAATTTGCCGTTAATAACCGCCAAAAACGTTAAAGGCTGGTATTGGCCTGCATACACACACACAAAAGGACGGATAACATAACACGATTTGACCGCCGGGGCGGTCATCACGGAACTAAGATGGCAGACACTTAGGACTTCTGGTTTTATATGATGTGCCAGTTCCAACGCACCCAAGAGGTCTGACACGTGCGTCGTTTTTTTTAACGTGATATCCCCAGTAGGCATAATCCACGATGGTGATGAGATGATTATTTGAGGTTTGGCTTGGCGAGATAGTGGAGGGCGATGGGGCCATTCTCGGAGGTAGGGACAGCCCTGGCCTTGGGATATGGCGTGACGTATTTGTTGAAGGAGACTTCGGAGTCGGAAGATGGGCGCATGTGGAACGTGTATGGGATAGAGAAATCCCATCGTGTGCGATATATGAATTTCATGTTTCCGGATTCGCTGAGGATGTGAGGAGAGTCGAGTTGGATGTACGGCATGGGCTGAGGCTGCCATTGTAGATGCAAAGACGTGAAGTTACCAGTTGATGCGGCGACGATGGGGATGTCGTTAGCTTGGAAGCCAGTTGTGTGCTGACGCGCGGGAAACATTTCATCTGAGTGTGCAGATGACCCGTCAATGTGAATGAGTTCCCATACATGGGAAGGGGGCAAGGGTTCAGGAGAGAACGTGAACGTCTTCGTGTGCCCTGTTGCCAGTTCTTCTGTTTTGCAGAAATTGGCGCCAGACTGTAAATCGTTTGTGGTGTTTTTGTGACCGGGGGGCAGGAATTCTGAGGGCCAAAGAACTGCGGGGGTGTGGGTTTGATTCATGTCTGTAAGGATCATGAGATTTTGTGATGTTTCGAAGTCGATGGTTTCGTATGTGGTGGATCCTTGTGTGAGGAGTCTTTTTCTTGTTGTCGCCTGGTTGTAGATTGAGAGAGAGAGAACATGTGCCCGGTAATGCCATATGCCGCGTTGGATAGGACGTTGAATTGTTTGAGGGTGTTTTCTTTTTTGTCGATGCCGACCCAAAATTGGAGAAGGTGATAGGGTAGGCCATAACCACACGTACCAACATCACATAAAGAAACATTGTACCATAAAGAGCGCTTTATTTCTCCGTAAGCGTGGGTTGTTTTTATAGGTATAGGAATGGAAGATACCATGACAGACATGTTTTTTCCATAACCATCTTGTTCGACTTGGTGTGTTGTCTGGCCCATGGAGGCCATCCCGCTTGATCCTCTGGCTCGCTTGGATGGGTGGTCCTGTTGTTCTGAAGTGGAATCGGCCATGGGCGTTGTGATGACTGGTTTGGGATCGAAGTCGATGAAGAGGTTAGGATGGATCCTGCAACAACAAGTCGATTTGTATGTTTTCAATGTCTTTGACTGATTGCGATGTGAAGGTATTAGCGGAATGGGGGGGGGGGAGTGGTTAAGAGGTTAGTATAGGAACGATGCATATCTTGGAAGTGATGAACGAAGAGAGCGTAGCGGTCGTGTTTCGTGAGTATGGATGGTGGTTGAGCGACGATCCCATCTCTAGTGATGAAACTGGAGATAAGCGACGTAAGATGAAAGACGAACATTCTCTGTTTAAGGGGAGAGATGTCTTCGGTAGAAACCCAGTTCCAGATTGGCTGGTTTGTGGTGATGAAGACCGGAAGGCGATGTATAATCTCCTTGTCGGCATGTTTCATGTCGGTGGGAATGGGGGGCCCTCCTCCAGCAGGAGCTTCCACGTGCCGACGGTAGTCTGGTCAATTATGGGTTCTTCGAATATCACGGCGGTGCTATTCGGGAGTTGGTCCAGGTGGAAGTTGCTTTTGTCCCTTTCGCGCGCCACTCGCGTGGGGCGCGTATCGGCCAGGAGGAGGGAAGCCAAAAGGGATTTGCCCGTGTTTGTGGGACCTTCTAAGACAAATGTGTTAATTTTTGTGGCTGACGTGGAATGTATGAGAAGGAATTTAGAAAAGAAGTCTGGGATGTCGATGTTGTTTGAACGGAAGACAGAGGAAAGCCAAGAGACGTTTTGTTTGTCTGATTTGTGGATGTCAAAATTTTCGGCGAGGAGGGAATAGAAGTGTTTGGTTTTGATGTTTTGGAGAGCCTCGACTGTGTGGATCTTGATGAGGGTTTTGATGATGTTTTGACCCACATAGCTAAGCTGTTTTAGAAGTTGAATTTTGGTTTCGGTCGGGAGAACGCGTTGGAACATCTCGTAGGAGGAAATGGTGTGGTGTTGTGCCGCAGGGGGTCGTGGCCTATTCTCCCCCTCGGGGCACCAGTAGGTATCTCTCTCCAACCCCGGGGGCTCACAAGGGAAAAGGTAGTGCAGGGGTCACATTTATACCATTTCACAGTAATACATCACTAAAGCAAAAATGTGTATATTAGAAATAGGTTAATTATGATTAAAAGCAAATACAAAGGTGCCTTGCGGCTGTAGCGTGTTCTATCCTTCTTCCTCGTCCTCCTGTCACAAGCAAATAATACTCACAAGCACATAAGTATGGTACTTAACCTATCTAAATGCAGTTCCTATATAATGGAACGTGTTGAGCGATCCGGAGTAGTAACAGGCTCCGGCCGTCTCGTTCTTACCCGCTTCTCTCTTGTGCCTAATGCTCCATGAGCCTAACCTAATCTAATACAAATTAGTACTTCAATTGTGACCTGTCACCTCTGCCGGGTGGCCTGTCAGTTCTTTCGGGTGACCAACCATTGGCAAGTACTCACGTGCCCCATCCTTGGGCGATACTATGCTCCCATCTCTCTCTCTGTTCCTGGGTCAGAGATGCCCCTCGCGACTTCGCGACGTCGGGCCCCACGGGCTCGAAAACGTACCCTCTGGCGTCTGGCAACACTCGTCCAGTCTTCCCGCTCCGCCCCCTGGTCCCAGGGTTCTTATACCATCTGGATCCGTGGGCGTGCTTCCGTCCTCATGGACGCATTGGGAATCGGCGATTCCCATTGGCTACATTCCCTGTGGTTCTTAAAACATGCCTATATTTGGTCTTTCCTGACTGCCTCATACTTTGTCCCACATGATGGGAAGTGGCTGACTAACGGAAATGAATAATCATGAATAACAGGATACATGAACAAACTTGATTTCCGTAGTTCGTTTCATCATTCTAACTCACCCATAAATTCATATCTGCCAAACCTTAATATTATAATTTAATACATCAAAATCAAATTCCAAAAATCCTGGGCACAACAGTGGGTAGTGATGAGTTGGGATATGAAGTCGATGGAGAAGGTGCGAGAGGTGATAGTTTCCTTGTTGAGTACCTTCTTTTCCTCTATGTAGTTTTTGCAGGCCAGGGGCGATGTTGATGGACGATCTGTAGTATCATAGTTGAGAAGCGCATCCATTAGGGGTTTGAGGATGTGAATAGTTCGGACACCATACTTATAGAATGTGGCGAGACCGTGACGGATGAGATAGGAAATAAACCGTGTTGGGAAACGGACGAGTTGAAGAGTAGTATGTGCCTCTGAAGATCCATCAAAGCCTGTTTTAAGGTATCGAAGGATTGAGTTGAGGTGGCGGCTGGCGTTGTTTGAATGACCGACGGAGAAGATGATGTGGAGATGGTCTCCGTGGTCGAAGGCTGCGAAGGATGGTGCTTTTTTTGTTGTTGGGGGGAGGGGCTGGAAGGTCGCTTTGTGGAGGATGAAAGTGTATGTAGGGTGGTTGGATGCGCTTCCGTCCGTATCGTCTCCAACGGGGTGTCGAGAAGTGCTGGCCTGTGGTGTTGAAGAGAAGAAGGTTCATCGGCGTTTGCAGGTCTTGGAGAGTCATCTGGCTGTCCGCAAGGAATTGTTCTTTGTTGGGTTTCGTTTCCAGGAGAACAGTCAGAGCGTCGTTTCGGTTGTCTGTTGTGTAGGTCATCATAGGATCTTTTTCGCTTCCTTCTTGTATCACCATCGTCGATGGTGTTGAAGAGAAGAGGCGAAGGAAGGTTGTCAGGATGTATTGACGGAGATGTCTGTTGGATGTGTTCGTGATGGAGAGGAGAAGGTATTGTGTCTCTTCGTCGGCTGGTATCTGGAATAGCTGCACGTGTGATGTTAATCGGGCTAGGGGTTCTGCGGCAGATACTCTTATACCTAGTATTTGATAGACTCACTAAATGGTAGCACTTTATTCACACTGATCCTTACGTCACTTCTATTAATCGGCGTAGCATCCGGTCCATTAAATCGTCAAAGGGGGCTCCTGAAAACCGAAATTCATTCCCATGTCCCTACACGACTAAGGGGTTCACAACTCTGTTCTACTATCATTCTTCTTCAAGTAAAATTTTCATGTGTAACACTACGTAAATTGAAGTTAAATAAAATATTACTGTCTCTGTTTCATCCATAAAATGTTCGTGTTACTTAAACGTAAAAACGGTAGTCATCACAGTGGACCATAAATTTTGCATGTTCTATTTCTTGGGGTTTCATTCAATAGTGGGGTTCAAAACGTCTCTAGTAGTGCTCGTAACGACGTACCACTAGACGACAAAGAGGGGGGTATTTTTAATATCCCTCGCGCCAATTTATTAGCTTTGCGACGCATTATCCTTTTCTTATGCCTCAGTACATTTAATGGAGGTTGGTCCTGTTGGACCGTATCGACAGGCGTCCCTGCCGTTGCCTCACAAATAAATTCAATACTGGTATCGTTCTCCATTACCACCACGGTCTCTCGTTACTAGTTGGGTTTACCTAGTCCGTACTCTTTGGTGCAATTTGCTCTTTCCCTTGGGGTCATTNNCCCCCTCTCTATAGTTCCAATCAGATCCCGGGAATTTCTTCCAGTCAAGAATCCGATTCCCCGATCGGCCGTTTCCTGCATTCCAATGTCGCGGTTGGCTATTCCTGCGTTCATGGAAGAGGCCCACCTTAGTGGTTCGGCCCATCGTACCTTCCCTCTAGTAACAGTTGGCACCTACTTCGATTATTCTCCCTTGCGTCCCGTTTTGTTTATCTGTCAGTTCGTTGAATCTACGTCCTTTCAAGGACAACCGTGGCTAATTATCCTCAGGCCTCATATCATTCGTGCACATTTAACTCAACTGGGCTTACCCAGCCAGTCATTTTTCCACCTAGGTGATTTCAGTTGATGTTCTACCCCCCTTTTCTAATCATTAACTCATTTGCCTAAGGTCACACTCGACTCCTTGTTCGAGTCACGTACGCAGTTAGCGTACCTAAATGTAGGGCTAAGTTTAGCTCCTCGCGGATAACATGGTATGGTGCCATTAAAATAAACATCATTACGCATACGACTTTTCAGTCTTTTATCCACATGCCACTCAGATAGCGAGAGGTAGACAGTTTACCCGAGGGCTATATAGCGTTCCAGACATCAACGTCGGCACCTCCCGAGTTCAACCCTGGGATGGGCCTTCTCAGCCTGCTCACGCGGCAGCGCCTTCAGCGAGGTGATCAGTCCCGCGTCCGACGTTCCCTGCAACGGACGGCTTAGGCGGCGAATCGCTCGCCACCGCTCGACCTTTTAGCCTGACAATTGACGCCGCTTACCTCCTGGGATAAGCGCACTGGTTCGCAAACCGACTTGCCTCCCTACGTCTGAGAGCATCAGCCCCTGTTATTCCCCGTTGTACATCAAATTATCAACCTCACAAATAACACGACTTTCTCCTAACTCATTCTAATTCTTAGGCCGTAATTTCAATTGTAATGGTCCTTGTTGCAATAACTCTTCTCTAACTCACAAGCATAAAAATTTAAAAATTTACTTATAAACCCGTTACAACAACATTAAAAATAATCGTAATTTACAAAATATAAACGTAACACTTCCTCCTACCTTTCTTTTCCGGGCGGAAGCGCTGGTCGTCGTGGCAAGTCGTCCGACCTACCTTGGTGAAGTCGGCGATGGTTCCGCCGCTGTGTCTTCCGGTTTCCATTCCTCACTCGACTGTAGAGAGGGCCGGCGCTTCCCTGGGTCGTCCCGATCCCGGTGCCAAAACTCATAACAGTGATAACATTGAATGACCAAGGGGTGTACCCCACCCGAGGGAACCCATGGCTTTACTGACGTTCCTGGGCCTAGCCCCCTAGGGCATCCCTTATTCCTATCCCCTTGGGTCGTGCGCGACTCCCTAGAACGACCGCCTCCCCTAGTACGTCGATACTCATTCCCATACCTCCAGCCGGGAAAATCAGGATCAGGGTCCTGACAGCAGTCGCTCCCATAGTGCCCTATCTCCGCACATCGAAAACATCGGATGGTCTTTTTGTGTGCTCCGCGACTCCTTCTTCGACCTCGTCGTGGGGGAGAGTCCCTACTTCCGACGCGATCCCGGGGCGTCTCCCTTATCCTAAGGGTTTCTAATTCCCCTCTCAGCTCCTTCGCTTGGGCCCCAAGGGCTTCCACCTCTACCTGGCTCATCACAAGGCATCCCGCTAAATTGTTACACAAAGTGACCACACCCTTCAACACTTAAATCCGTTATTCACAAAAAAAAAATCGTCTGAACAAATCCCTTAAATGCAAGACAAGGTTTACTTCCCTTTTACACGTAGCATACAGTGCATATCATTAACTCATTTTAAGCGTACCTGAGTGGCGAGAGTTATCTACATTCGCGCTTCTCACTTATCAGCGCAAGTCCCGCAATTCGGGCAGAATTACGATTTATCCCGCCGCTGCCACCAGTTTTGTTGTGCCGCAGGGGGTGGTTACCCAACCTCCCCCCTGGGGTCACCAGTAGATACCTCTCTCCGGATGAGGGAAGGTAGGGGTCCAAGGGCAGTAGTTCCCACAACCTTCTCAATTAAACACCTTAAATGTAGGAATATAATATGTGAGAAATACAGAAAAATGAGTGGTTACAACCCTTATGGAATGTGTCTACAAGGGTCTATCTTAACCTACCCTAATACATAAAGTTATCTTAGTCTAAACCGTATGGCTAAAACATGGCAAGCATTACAGGTTATTTGGCTACCCTAGCCGTTCTGATACTTGTTAAGTCCACACACAAGTGGTTGTGTCGTGTCCGATGCCCCACTCGCTACTCGATCGGCCTGAGGACCGTGGCCGTCCCGCCTCCAGCCTCAGGCTCCGTCTGGCGAGTACCTCCTGAGCGTAGTGATACACTGGGCTCTTGCCTACACAAATTCACTCTTCTACTTTACTAGTTTCTATTCTAACTTATTTGACCTGAGTAAATGCACCTAGACACAATACAACCTTAAGCTGTGTAACTGTGACCGTGACCGACCATTGGCAAGTACTTACTTGCCCCGTCTCTCTGGCTGCTACAATGAAGTCATCCTTCTCCGTGGTCTCGAGGGTGTGCCTCGCACCCTGGCGGAGTCGTGCCCCGAAGGCTCGGGTACGTTCTACTGATGGCGTTAAGTGACAAGCGTCCAGCTCTAGCTCGCGTCTCCGCCCCTTGTTCCAGGGTTCTTACACCGTCTGATAACGTGGCGTGCTTCCGTCCTCATGGACGCGCTGGGAATCGTCGATTCCCATTGGTTAAATTCCCTTCTGTCCTAGCAACTTGCCCGTATATGGTCTTTCCTGCCGGCCACATAATTCTTCCAGTATCATGGGGAGCGGCTGACTAACGGAAATGAATAATCATGAATCACAAGAAACAGGAGCTGTGTGTGTTTCCGTAGTTGACTTCATCTTTCTAGCTCAACCGTAATTTCATGTTTCCTACGTTAATAAAATAATTTAAAATATCAAAACCAACTTCCCTAAAGGGTCCGGGCACAACAATGGAGAAACCCACTTGGCCATAATTTCATGTTTCCTACGTTAATAAAATAATTTAAAATATCAAAACCAACTTCCCTAAAGGGTCCGGGCACAACAATGGAGAAACCCACTTGGCCGGGTCTGTGACCAACATATTGGGTGTGGACCCACATTTAAGTATTATAAATCATATATTGTAAGCAACAATAGTCACGTTCCCATTTATTATTATTTTCATTAGAATGATGGAATTCGGGAATGTGAAATACACTCTTTTCAACAAGATTAAGACTGCATTTAAAGATATAAAAAAAAAAGTGATATATTCATCTTCACTAGTTCAGTACTGGGCAGAATAATATGGCAGAAATAACAAATAAATGTAATAAATACTGACAATCTGGTATCCATTCATATTCCAGTTCAGTAATGTGGCAAAAGTAACATATCTTACAAAAAATGTAATGAATACTGAAAATCTGGTATCATTCATATACCAGTCCATTAATGGAAAGGTGTATATGGCAAAAGTAACATATATCTTACAAAGAAATGTAATTAATACTGACAATCTGGTCACTGGAACTGAACTTGAAGTCTATCGTCTCGTAGGTGGTAGAACCTTGTGTTAGAAGACGCTTCCTCGTTGTGGCTTGGTTATATATGGAGAGATTGAATTCGTGCCAAGTGATGCCATAGCCAGCATCGGCTAAGCGATTAAAAGTTTTTAGTGTATTATTTTCTTGGTCGTCTATTCCAAGCCAAAAGTGAAGGAGGTGATATAGGATGTCATATCCACAGGGACCAGCGTCGCAGAAAGAAAGATTCAACCAAAGAGAACGTTTAATCTCACCATGAGCGTGTGAGGTCTTTATTGGAATAGGTACAGTAGATGATATAGGGTACATGTGTTTGCCATACCCATCTTGTTCTACTTGATGAGTTGTTTGACCCATTGAGGTTGTAGTAGAGCCGCGCATCTTTTTTGACGGTCTGTCGTCTTGAGGCTCATACATCTGGGAGCTCCGTAGTTCTTGAAAGAGTGTCGGATGAATACTGTGATAGAGTTTGTATCTGTAGTTCTTGGAGTTTGTGGAAGTGTTGGTTGGTATATGGTTTAGATGTTTCAGATATAGGTGGTTGGTATATGGTTTAGATGTTTCAGATATAGGTAGGGATGCCAAGAGGGTAATGTATTGATCATGGATGGATTGTAGGTGATGGAGGAATAAGGCATAGACATCATGTTTGGTGATGATAGATTGGGGTTGGGGAATGTGACCAGCCTTGTCAACGAAACTTGAAATTTGGGTGGTGAGGTCGAACTGGAAGATGCGTTGCTTTATTGGGGAGACATCATCCGCCGAAACCCAATTCCAGATTGGTTGGTTTGTAGAAATGAAGACAGGCAGACGATATATGAGTTCTTTGTCTGCGTGCTTCATGTCTGTGGGGATGGGTGTACCCTCAATTGTGGTCTGATCAATAATTGGCTCTTCAAATAATACTGCAGTGCTGTTGGGTAACTGATCGAGATAAAAGTTGGATTTATCTCGTTCTCTTGCGATTCGGGTTGGTTTGGTGTCTTTGAGGAGTAAATTGAGGAGAAGTGATTTTCCTGTGTTGGTGGGACCATGGAGGATGAATGTGTTAATTTTTGTGATGTTTGTGGAATGAATGATGACGAAGCGAGAAAAGAAGCTATCAACCGAGATGTTGTTTGATCTGAAAAGTGTAGAGAGCCAAGTAACGTTGGAATCTTGAACTAGGCTGACATCATAATTATCAATGATAAGCTGATAATAGTGTTTGGTCTTGATTGTTTGGAGGTTTTCTATGGTATGAATTTTAATGAGTGTTTTAATGATGTTTTGACCCACGTACCCTAGTTGCTTCAGGAGTTGAATTTTGATGTCTGTGGGGAGAGTGCGCTGGAAAGATTCATATGAAGAAATATTGTGATCGAGTATGTTTGGACGATGTTTTTTAGCCTCAACGTATTGTTCACAGGAGAGACCAGATGTGGATGGAATATCAGTGGTGTCATAGTGAGTCAAGGCGTCGATGAAAGGTTTGAGGATGGAGAGAACTCTAGATCCATATTTATAGAAAGTGGCGAAACCCTTGCGCAAGAGATACGATGTGAATCTTGTCCTGTAACGGACGAATTGTAAAGAAGCATGAGCTTCTGTAATTCCCTCAAGGCTGGCCTTAAGGAATCTAAGGATACTTGCGAGATGTGGGGATGCGTTGTTTTGCTGCTTGGTGGAGAAGATGACATGGACGTGGTCCCCGTGGTCGAAGATGGCGAAGCTTGGGGCACGTCTGGTTGTTGGTGGTATGGCGTCGAACGTGTTGCGGTGTAGGATGAAGGTGTACGTTGGATGGTCGGAATCGCCTCCGTCCGTATCGTCTGATCCAGCGAGCGAGGCTTGTGGGCTGGCCGGTGATGTTGGAATATGAGATTCATCGACACGTCGAGAATGTCCAGCGATGGGGAGTCGGTCAGAAGATGCTCTTTTTTTTCTTTTGGGAGGAGTAGGGCTGCTATGACATCCTCCAGAGTCGTTGTCGTGTATGCCAGGAACGGAGATCGGATGTTCTCTTCTTGTATCATCAGTGTTTGTGGTTTGAGATTCAACATTTCTATCGCTCTCGCGAATAGGGATTGACGTAGGGACCGCGAAGATGTGTTGGTCAGGGATAGAATTAGGTCTTGTGTCTGTTGTGATGGTTGGGTTGTTGGTAGGGATACTAACTGTAGATGGGATGTCAGTGAAGATAGTGGTTCAGGAGCTGTGAATAGTAGATGGTTGTCCATTACATACTGGGAGTATAGTTGAATCTGTGTGTTTGATAGCTCCTTCTCCGTCGACGAAAAGAGAATGTATCTCCTCGGTGGGAGCTTGATCGTCTTTCCCGTCGGAGATGTGAATTGGGGCCAAGTGTCTCTCGTTTGAGCTTGGTCTGTCCATGATAACATTGTTGGTATGTTGTATGACACTTACCCGAAGATCGCCAGTTGGTTCTATGTTGGAAGAGGTTTCATCTTCCCACTCTTCTTGTATGTTAAATAGAACGCCGTTGGCTAGTTGTGTTCAAAGGTTGCTGTGACAGAGGTCTGAATAAGGACACTGTGCGTTGTTGTTCCAGCAACGAGGACAGACACAGAATGGCAGGAAATGGATGCACGCTGTGTGGTATACCATTGCTGAGTGATGTTGGAAGGAGCATAGAGCTGTGTTATATGGAGAAAGATAAGGCGCACGTGGAGCAGTGTTATCGGGAGTACGTGACCTGAAGCGGAGAAGTGTTACCGGTATCATAAAATGAAATAGTTTGTAATACTTCACCATCGGGACATCGTGTACGTTGCTCCCTTTGCTGGTAATTGTAACATACTCACACTAACAGTATCTGGAAATCTCCATGTAACCTTTTTCCTTAAGTTCTTCCTCAGGGACACCATTTTTATGGCAGGATGCGTCCCATCCCTTGATGATAGACCATCAACATATGCACCATGTGCTTCTGTACTAGTCATCGTTTGCCAAAAAATCTTAGGAGTCGTACTGAACCGAGCATCGATTACATTGGAACTAAAATCCCCAAGTTTAGGCTGAGGCACAGGACCTGTCTGTCTTAACCCTCCCCTTTCAGCAACAGTCTCAAATCCAAAACAATACATACTTACACCTGTTATTCTTACAAATATATATTGAGAACCCCACATTCCTCTAATATGATCAATAAAACTTTGACAATCTGGCAAAACATCAGCCATTCCCAATACACCAATATTATTCTTCCTTGTAACATATTGTCCACCTTCACATATGTTTTGAAATGCACACTCCCTCATATATGAAACCCTTCTCTGTGCAACATTAGCATTATACGCACTACACTTCTTCCTAAACCTAATTCTCCTTGTCCGACGAACATAAGTCAACGGTGTCATAACCCTCCTCCTCCAATGGTTCCACCTTAACTTCGGCTTCCAACCTCTTCTCCCCATACCAAAACGGTGCCGACGCATGAACAACCCGTAACCGCCTCTCAAAAGCTTCATCATTTAACGGTTCCTCGTTACTTACTAAAATAATAAGAACCTTACATGGGGAGGGAATGCATCAGGTCGAAAGGGGGGCTCTAAGTGTCAGTCATCTTTACATCGTGCACACAGTTTTAATATTGTGACATCCTATCACCACTTTATACCCGGGCCAACTTGACCTTGAAATCGAAAAGATGGTGATGAGTGATGTTCAGAACGCAGTTCTGCGTCTTCGAAATTTTAATAAAATTTGCTATTACTAATCGCCGAAGACGCACTGGTCACTTCCAGTTCAGTAATGGAAAGGTTTATATGGCAAAAGTAATATATCTTACAAAGAAATATAATGAATACTGACAATCTGGTATCTTTTCATATTCCAGGTCAGTAATGGAAAGTTATAAATCTTTCCACTTCAGTATTGGATACGTTTAATGAAACAGGTAAAGAAATTACATAAATAGTCCTACCCACATTCAATCTTGGTACTGATTCTGCTTCTCAGAGTTTCACACTGAGGTGGATAACCTGAACTTTGCAAGTCAGTTATAAAGTAATGCGTCTTCATTCTTACCTACTCATAAACAAGACCCATCTGTGTCAGAAAACAATTTCCCATACAACCCTCGGTTGAAATATAATTTGCTTAAGATAAAGGCCAGAATGAACTCTGACCTAGTGAAGTTCTAATATTCTGAGACGAAGGAAACATGTTTGCAAAGAGGGGAATAGATGGAGCTCAAGTTCAAAATAAGTTTCGTGTATGTAATCGAACTGTGGTTGACCATGTTATCATTCACTGCAACATGTTTTCAAAGTGGGAAAGAGATGGAGTTCAAGTTCAGAGTAGGTTTCTTGTGTGCAATCGAAATGTGGATGCCATTGTTATCATTCGCTGCACTGTAGTTTCTGTTGCTGCACTGCAGCTGCTTGTCACCAGGGATACTTTCTCCAACTTACGAAACATTTAATGATGCTCATGTCATGTGACTAGGTGGCACACATACAAGGTGTGTTCCAAAAGTCATGAAATATATATTTTTT